TGGGGACCTAGGGAGATGGGGAGTTGGAGAGATGGGGACTTAGGGAGATGGGGACCTAGGGAGATGGGGATCTGGAGAGATGGGGACTTAGGGAGATGGGGACCTAGGGAGATGGGGATCTGGAGAGATGGGGACTTAGGGAGATGGGGACCTAGGGAGATGGGGATCTGGAGAGATGGGGACTTAGGGAGATGGGGACCTAGGGAGATGGGGATCTGGAGAGATGGGGACTTAGGGAGATGGGGACCTAGGGAGATGGGGATCTGGAGAGATGGGGACTTAGGGAGATGGGGACCTAGGGAGATGGGGATCTGGAGAGATGGGGACTTAGGGAGATGGGGACCTAGGAAGATGGGGACCTAGGGAGATGGGGATCTGGAGAGATGGGGACTTAGGGAGATGGGGATCTAGGGATGTGGAGACCTAGGTAGATGGGGACCTAGAGAGATAGGGACCTAGGGAGATAGGAATCTAGGGAGATAGGGATCTATTTGCATTATGACAGATGTTGAAATTTGGGAATACTCTAATCTAACATATAGTGATTGAAGAATGTAAAAGTATGGGATCTAGGAATCTCAGAATATAAGCTTGACATACTCACATACTCCACCTTCATAGCATAGACAAAACAAGTAAAACACTTCGTTAATTTATTGCATTTGTATTTAATTTATCATACTCCTAAAGATCCGCCACTTAAAATTTCCAACGTAATTCATACTTCGATTGTAACTTCGTCGCCAATCGTTTAGCAATCGATGCTATAAAGTCATGTAAAAAGATAATGACTGTACACATAAATTACCGCACACATTTCGTTGCATGTATTTCCGTGTTTTCCAACAGCTGATGATTAGTCATTGTAATGACGTACCTGTGAAAAAATGGACGAGAACTTCCAATTAGAATAAGTTGCAAGACGCTTTAAAGAAAAAAACAATATCGTAAACATACTTAGGTTGTTAACAAGCAATTCACGGTTTCGTTCCAGTTATGTAGCGTGCATAACCGAATGAGAATAGGTCATTAATTTTTTGCGGACAGGTTAATATCACAGAACGAATAGAAACAAAACGAATAAAGACGAGGTGACAACACTTGATCAGTCACCTTGGAAGATTGCATAATTAGGCGAATAAAGGATGACGCTAGTGCCATTTTAGTATACCAGGGGAACGCGTAGGAAAAGTTGATAATCGTAATCTCGACTACTTACAGTAATAGTTTTCTTGATAGGCTCGATACCGAAATAATCTTGCGAATTAAAAATGCTGCTTGAAACATTTTGACATTGACACAACTTGACTTTTGACACAAAAATCGTCCTCTGTAAAATAGAAAAATTGTTTAACGTTTAAACAAAATATGAAGATAACACTTTATCTTTTCTTACCTTACGATATTAAAAATTGATATAATCGCATTGATACAACTGTACCTGATTAACTTGAAATGTACACAGGATAACCATTCAAGAACTCCGCCTCAAAAGTAACATATTATCGGACAAACATCGATAAATTTAAAGATTTGGATCTTTCAACACAAAAATCATTCTTCCGCTTTAATACAGTTGCAAAACAAAAGAAAGCAACAAAGAATTTCTTCGAAACGATTTGCAGTTCTTTCAGGGAATCCCTGGCGGCGATGGATTCCATCTGGATAACGTTGAGCATAGCTTACAGCATCGTAAGATCGTATTTCCGGTTTAATCGGCCGGATAAGATACAAGCTCAACCCTATCTTCTACTTGATCCTGCCGCGATTGTTAAGCAGATGCTGGACACGAAACGGGGTACAGTAGGTTTTGTTATATTGCCACTTTCACAAACTTTAACGTATACTTAACAAACTTTAACATATACTTAAGTATCTGCTTAACAGCATTCATATCTACTTAACAGTATTTATATCTATTTAACAGCATTTATATCTACTTGACAGTATTTGTATCTACTTGACAGTATTTGTATCTACTTAACAGTATTTGTATGTACTTAACAGTATTTGTATGTACTTAACAGTATTTGTATGTACTTAACAGTATTTATATCTACTTGACAGTATTTATGTCTACTTAACAGTATTTATATGTACTTAACAGTATTTATATCTACTTGACAGTATTTATATCTACTTAACAGTATTTGTATGTACTTAACAGTATGTATATCTACTTGACAGTATTTATATCTACTTAACAGCATTTACATCTACTTAACAGTATTTGTATGTACTTAGCAGTATTTATATCTACTTGACAGTATTTACATCTACTTAACAGCATTTACATCTACTTAATAGTATTTATATCTACTTGACAGTATTTACATCTACTTAACAGTATTTGTATCTAGTTAATAGTATTTATATCTACTCAGCAGCATTTACATCTACTTAACAGTATTTATATCTACTTAATAGTATTTATATCTACTCAGCAGCATTTACATTTACTTAACAGTATTTACATCTACTTGACAGTATTAATATCTACTTAACAGTATTTATATCTATATAACAGTATTTACATCTACTTAACAGTCTTACTTAATACTTCTTTTACTACTAATACTACTTAATACTTCTTCAACATCTATGTCATCCACCAAATTTATGAACTTTACCATGATAGTATTATTATCATAGGTCCCTTTTCTCTGATCAATATATACCATTCTAAAAGCTTCATTAAACGTTGAATAACTTACTGAAAGAAGTATAGTCACACATTATATTACTAACACGTTGTACATATAAGTATTGTATTGCCACACTATGCATCTACAAGTAAGAGTATATTGATGTGTGCTTTATAGCAACATGTTGCATTAACAATGCGTTGTGATACAGCGTATTACGTTTTGAGTTATATTATTGACATACTATGTTGACAATATATTATATTTTGTGGAGCGTCATATAAACAATGCATTGTCTATTATATGGACAATCAGTTTTGCAGACTGTTGAGTTTGCAAAAGATTGTATTACAAGTGCGTCGTATCAATGACACATTGTATTGACAATGTGTGGTACTTGAAGTGTGCTATATTCGCCATACACTGTATTTGCTTAGCGTTGTATATGTCAAGTCTTGTATTTGCTTACCGTCGTATTCACCACGCATTGTATTTACTTAGCTTTGTAATCGCTACGCATTGTATTAACAACGCACTGTATTTGCAGCACGTGGTATTTACAATGAATTGTATTAGTAATGCGTTGTACAGATGAGTTCAATCTGTGGCGCGTTGTATTAGCTTTACATTGAATTCGTGGCGCGTTGTATTTCGATGCATTGTACTTGAAGCACGTGGTATTTACAATGAATTGTATTAGCAATGCGTTGTACCGATGCGTTGAATTTGTGACACGTTGTATTTGCTTTACATTGAATTTGTGGCGCGTTGTATTTCGGCGCACTGAATTTGCAACACGTGGTATTTACAATGAGTTGTATTAACAATGCGTTGTACTGATGCGTTGAACCTGTGGCGCGTTGTATTTGCTTTACATTGAATTTGTGATGCATTGTATTTCAACACATTGAATTTGTAGCACGTGGTATTTACAATGAATCATATTAACAACGCATCATACTGGTGCCTTAAATTTGTGGCGCGTTGTATTTACTTTACATTATATTGTCAACGCATTGTACTACCAAGATTTAGCATTAACAACCCATTATATTGCCAACCATCGAAATGTACAACAACATTCATACTTAAAGCACAGTAACCGATTAAAACTACTAGAGTTCACTGAAACTCAGTACAAGAACAATGGAACTAAAAACGCGACAACCAGTGTTAAACAACAAAACTTGCAGATCAACCTAACATCAAAATCTATTAGATCTATTTTCCTATAGACTCGTGGCAATATAACGAGAGTCTACTATATTTGCAAATACGTCACGTCCGCGCACGTGAGCAGGGTGATCGCCGATTTAACTCATCCTCAAGATTCCCCGGTCGTTGGAGGGACGCGCACGCCAGGGAATCCCGATAAACAGGTATGAAAGTTTCCTCCACCGGCGCAGCTTACTCTCTCTCTTTCAACGCTGTATTCTTCATTCACGCATCTGACTGTCAGTGCACTGTTTCGCCGCGACCGGTGCCTCCTACAAGTGCCAGCAACCGTTCGGATTACGTCGTTCGCCACTGTTCACCCTGTTGCATCGAGATTTACGGTTCGTTCCGGGTAAACGACAATTTATTTTTTTTATCTGTTTCCCACAAATAGGTGTGTCTGGTGCCAAAATGAATCATTCTGTGTATCTGTGATAATCTGACACCAACTGTCAATTCCAGTTTTTTCAAATAACATTTTCCACGACTGTCAATTCCAGTTTTTTCAAATAACATTTTCCACGACTGTCAAATTTTCCTTATTATCGAATTTTTCTGCAATGAACATTATTTTATTAGTACGTATTTATTATTTTATAGTAAAGTATCATTCTCAAAAATGATAACATCAAGTTTCAAAATTTTTTGATATGGTTCTTGAGATATAAATTTTTACATTTTGTGAGTTTATTGAAATTGTACAATATTACCATGTACGAGTAGATCAATAGTTTGATAGTGTAAGGCACACAAGGTGCGTCATTGTGTGTTTCATATAAACAAATCGGTATAAGGTGCAACATCCATTTAATTATACAGCGTAGACGCACAAGGTGCGTCATTGAATGTATCATATAAACAGACCAATACAAGGTGCAACATCCATTTGATTATACAGTGCAAGACGCATAAGGTGCGTCATTGACTGTATCATATAAATAGACCAATGCAAGGTGCAACATTCATTTAATTATACAGTGTAGACGCACAAGGTGCGTCATTGACTGTATCATATAAACAGACCAATACAAGGTGCAACATTTATTTGATTATACAGCGTAGACGCACAAGGTGTGTCATTAACTGTATCATATAAGCAGACCAATACAAGGTGCAACATTCATTTAATTATACAGTGCAAAACGTACCTTGTGCGTCATTGACTGTACCACATAAACAAACCAACACAAGGTGCAACATCCATTTGATTATGCAGTGCAAAACGCACAAGGTGCGTCATTCACTTCGCATACCGTGGAAAGTACCTCGCGCGTCATTTATTGCATCAGGTAGCGTAAAATATTCAAGATGCGTTACCCATTCGTTACGTAGTACAAAACACACGAGACAATTTATTTCCATAACACGAGACGCATGAGGTGCGTCATAACAAGCTTCTTATTATTTAAAATCATCGTAGTACACTCAGCTATAAAATCTATTTATAACGAATTTAACTGGTTTATCTTTTTACTATGATCTCACCTACTCCTTCCTCGCTGCAGCTAAATTTTGACGTTAATTCAAGTCACGTCTTTCGAAATGTACTCTTTTGAATAAAAGTCTCGCTTCCTTTTAGTCATAACCGAGTTCAGCTCACATGTGACAATGTTTCCAATTATCTCAAACAGCTATTGATACCGTTACGCAATTGAAATACTGATCTTAAAGACCTGTTGCACAGAATGAAACGCATACAGTCGCGCTTCGATTAACAGGGTATCGTTAATTTCGTACAACGAATCAACTTTTCTGAGGAAAATGTTTCACGGAATCTTCGTGAAAGAAACATGCAGTGTTTAAAAAAGTAGGATCTTCAAATTAGATGACACAGAAGAAGGAATGTGGTCTTGAGAATCATTGTTTTAGATCTTCATTCATGTCGTTTCGTATCAAATACTTTAGTCCTTGAGAATTTCGTATGATCGCAATGCACCTCTCTGTAACATAATTAAAGTAACTGTATTTTAAATGAAATTGTTAATGAAATTTTAGTATCTCAAGGTTCTCACCTGACTTTTTGTTCTTCCACGATATAATAAATAATTGACCTTGCAGTTGAAGGTCAAGGTCAAAGTTTTTCCAGTGACAGGCTTAACATTGTGGTTTTCAAATTCTCCGCAAATGTTTGATATCGAAACGACCCTGACTTAACCAGTGACCAATTGATTTACTCCTCTGTAACCTTCTCTCGATTCCTCGTTCACGTTTACTACTCATTTACGATCAATTAATGAACTATTCCCATCCGATCTTCAACCTCAAGCCCGGGAAACCGGTTCTCAGTGAATGCTCGAACGAGACTGCAATTTAATTATTTCTTTACACTCAAAGGTTTTTTTTGCGATAGAGGAACATTAACTCGAAGCCTTCGAACGATAATTTTAAACGTACCGATTGGGTTATGAAATACTCGTGAGTAATGAACGCAAATATTTGAAACGTAAATAGAAATGATAAATATATGCCGACAAAACAATCGCCTCTGCAATTGCTGTATTAGTGCAGCGGCAAGTGGTGAGTGAGAATCGTCGCAACAGTTCATAGGGTTAAATTCTTTCGACGATTAATAAGAGCGGACGAGTTTAACCCTCTCGCTGCGACACGCATTTTGTTTCGACATTGATGTGTAGTGTCGACATGTATCCATTGTGGATTATAACGCTGTTACAATATTATACATTGAGGTAGAGTGTGCAATGAATTTGTGTATTTAAGGATTTTCTAAGTTGGATAGTTAACAGTTTAAACATTTTTAAAATATAGAAATTTAAATATGTGGAGGATCTGAAGTCGAATAATGTAAGAATCTAACAATCTAACAATCTGACAATCTTACAATCTGACTATCGATCAATCTAACAACCTAACAATCTGATAATTTAACAATCTAACAGTCTAACAATCCAACAGTCTAACAGTTTAACAGTCTAACAATCCAACAGTCTAACAATCTAACAGTCTAACAGTTTAACAGTCTAACAATCTAACAGTCTAACAATCCAACAGTCTAACAGTCTAACAGTCTGACAGTCTAACAATCTAACAATCTGTATATCTAAAAATCTGAAATTCCAAAAATCTAAAATTAAAAAATTTGAAATTTCAAAAATTTTAAACTTTAAAAATTTGAAATTCCAAAAATCTAAATCTCTAAAAGTTTGAAATTCTACAAATCTAAAAATCTAAAAATTTGAAATTTCAAAAATTTGGAAATCTAAAGATTTGAAATTCAAAAAATTTGGAAATCTAAAAATTTGAAATTCCAAAAATTTGGAAATCTAAAGCTTTGAAATTCCAAAAATTTGGAAATCTAAAGCTTTGAAATTCCAAAAATTTGGAAACCTAAAGCTTTGAAATTCCAAAAATTTGGAAGTCTAAAAATTTGAAATTCCAAAAATTTGGAAATCTAAAGCTTTGAAATTCCAAAAATTTGAAAATCTAAAGCTTTGAAATTCCAAAAATGTGAAAATCTAAAGCTTTGAAATTCCAAAAATTTGGAAGTCTAAACATTTGCAATTCCAAAAATTTGGAAATCTAAAGCCTTGAAATTCCAAAAATTGTAAAATCTAAAAATGTGAAATTCTAAAAATTTGAAATTCCAAAAATCTAAAAATTTCAAAGACGTCCAAAATGGCAATATAACAAGAGTCCAGTTTGCCCAGCAAAGGAGTCAAATTCGCTGAAGATCAGTTGTATGGCGCGACTACCAAAATGTCCGCTGTCAGAGGGTTAGAGGGAAAAAGTGGCGAAGCTCATTAACGTCCGCATCGGCTTTTTGGACGATTATGTCGAACGAAACAGGTTTCGCGTACACGTACCCAACTGACCGTGGATACACTGACCGACCAATCAGTGATCTTAGTTTCCTTCAGTCGTCAAAACGCACACGTTACGGCGTCTAGCTCGTAAACAAGACCGCTTCTTTCTTTACTGAACGTTAGATCGTACAAAAAGAGGGAGTATTCCAACCGTGAGTTCTTGTTATAGATTCTTCGGATGTTTATTGTTGAGTGATTTGTGTTCATCGGTTTGGATCGTTTCAGTTCCAAAGAATTGATTTTTCTTGTGAACGGAGAACCAGCTTGACAACAACCTCGGGTAAAACTGTTGTTCCTGAAATGACGGTTACTGAATTACAAAATTTTCAAATTTTCATATTTAACATATTTCCAAATTGTCAAATTACCAAATTGCAAAATTGTCTATTGATAAAATTGCTTAAATTATAAATTTTTAATTTTTAACTTGTCAAATTGTCAAACTTTGAAAGTTTCAAATTTTTATATCTCAGATTTCCAAATTGACTTTAAATTTTCAAGTGAATTTATTAAATATTCGAATGAACGAATTACGAAATTTCGAGAGTTCCAAATCTAGAAATTAGCAAGTTACCACCGGTGAAGCGAAACGGCTATACAGTGTAGTGTAACAGCGTTAACCTGATCAATTATGAAATTATTTGACTGAATTGCGTTAACATATACATACGCAATATGTGGAGACCACGTGCAAATATCGATAAAAAATAGGGTAACAGCTTCGCAAATACAAATAGCACCGGCATAAAAGTGAGTTTATGAGTTCGATAACAATGGAACTTTTATTTGCACGTGGAATGTTGATTAAAGATTAAAAGGATTTTCACACGACGCATTATAATACATGTACATATATCACGGATACCAAAAGTGAATGCGTAGCTTAAAGTTAATAAAAAGTTATTAATCTATGGTATTATTTATCAATCTAATTATGAAGCATTATATCTTACAAAAAATTTCAGTGAAAGATTAATATAGATTATAGAGAAGAAGAGCACTATTACAAGGCTTCGTAGTTTACTGACTAAAGTTTATAATAATATTCGGTAGAGAATATCGATGGTAATCTTGAAAAACACGAACAATGTGAAAATGGCAGAACACCTTCAAAAATATTTACTTCTACCGCACAAGGTCCTTAAGAACACTTGCAGCTATATGGTCGCCAACGCACAGCAATTGGAAAAACAAAACTATATATATTTAGAAATATATAAACTTCCAAATTATGTTAATTATAGATTAAATCCAGAAATTTACAAATTTTCCAATTTGGAAATTTACAGGTTTTCAAGCTTTTAGATTGTGGTATTTAGAAATTCAAAAACGTTCGAATTTACAATTGTATTACAATATAACGCGTGGCAATGTAATATGTGGTGATACAGCGCGTGACAATGCAACGTGTAGTAATATAACGCGTGGTAATACAACACGTGGTAATTCAACGCGTGGTAATTCAACGCGTGGTAATTTAACGCGTGGTAATACTACGCGTGGTAATTCAACGCGTGGTAATACAACGCGTGGTAATATAAAGCATGGTAATTGGTAATTCAACGCGTGGTAATTCAACGCGTGGTAATTCAACGCGTGGTAATTCAACGCGTGGTAATTCAACGCGTGGTAATTCAACGCGTGGTAATTCAACGCGTGGTAATTCAACGCGTGGTAATTCAACGCGTGGTAATTCAACGCGTGGTAATTCAACGCGTGGTAATTCAACGCGTGGTAATTCAACGCGTGGTAATTCAACGCGTGGTAATTCAACGCGTGGTAATTCAACGCGTGGTAATTCAACGCGTGGTAATTCAACGCGTGGTAATTCAACGCGTGGTAATTCAACGCGTGGTAATTCAACGCGTGGTAATTCAACGCGTGGTAATTCAACGCGTGGTAATTCAACGCGTGGTAATTCAACGCGTGGTAATTCAACGCGTGGTAATTCAACGCGTGGTAATTCAACGCGTGGTAATTCAACGCGTGGTAATTCAACGCGTGGTAATTCAACGCGTGGTAATTCAACGCGTGGTAATTCAACGCGTGGTAATTCAACGCGTGGTAATTCAACGCGTGGTAATACTACGCGTGGTAATTCAACGCGTGGTAATATAACGCATGGTAATACTACGCGTGGTAATTCAACGCGTGGTAATTCAACGCGTGGTAATTCAACGCGTGGTAATTCAACGCGTGGTAATTCAACGCGTGGTAATTCAACGCGTGGTAATTCAACGCGTGGTAATTCAACGCGTGGTAATTCAACGCGTGGTAATTCAACGCGTGGTAATTCAACGCGTGGTAATTCAACGCGTGGTAATTCAACGCGTGGTAATTCAACGCGTGGTAATTCAACGCGTGGTAATTCAACGCGTGGTAATTCAACGCGTGGTAATTCAACGCGTGGTAATTCAACGCGTGGTAATTCAACGCGTGGTAATTCAACGCGTGGTAATTCAACGCGTGGTAATTCAACGCGTGGTAATTCAACGCGTGGTAATTCAACGCGTGGTAATTCAACGCGTGGTAATTCAACGCGTGGTAATTCAACGCGTGGTAATTCAACGCGTGGTAATTCAACGCGTGGTAATTCAACGCGTGGTAATTCAACGCGTGGTAATTCAACGCGTGGTAATTCAACGCGTGGTAATTCAACGCGTGGTAATTCAACGCGTGGTAATTCAACGCGTGCTAATACAACGCGTGATAATTCAACGCATGCTAATACAACGCGTGGTAATACAAAGCGTGGTAATTCAACGCGTGGTAATACAAAGCGTGGTAATACAACGCGTGGCAATTCAACGCGTGGGAATTCAACGCGTGGCAATTCAACGCGTGGTAATACAACACATGGTGGTACAATACATGGTAGTACAACGCGTCACAATATAACGTGTGATGTTAGAGCACATGTAGATCCAACATACATGACAATATAACACGCAGTAATACAAAGCAGCAATAGAAAACATTGCGATATAATAAAAGGTTCCACAAAATCTACTGACAGCTCTAACAGTTCTAACAACACCAATACTGTCGACATCTTTCGCTAAATTCCGCCCTCTCCTTCTCTACTATATATTCCAAATCAAAATTCAACTTCGATGCTGGAATCTAGTCGCGAAAAAAGATTGATCGATCGAACACGACTACTTCAAACAGTTGTAGTTTACCTTGGATAAACGCAAAAGTCATTTCTCTCCCTCCCCAGTTTTTCAAAGGGGCATTGCGATCATACTTTCACTGCACCCGAGCTCTGGTACTACGTAGTACCATCCGTCCCTGCCTCTCCTTCTAGTTGTTCCCGTTTTTAACGATCATTCGAACCATTTAGTTTTCGTCGAAAGCGAACGTGAAAGGAGTTCCCCGAGCGTAGCACCATTGTCCTTAAAAGTTCCGATTCTTTCAACCAGGATACAACCTTAACAAAGCGGTGTCTCACGCACCTTATTTGCGCCATCGGTTCTTCGAATGGACCTTTGGAATACTTACTAAGCTGCATTCATTACCACAAACCTGTTGAGCGTCCGTTAAAGCATCAAATTAGACTGAACGTTTTAAAACGTCTATTTGTATTAAATATTTCATAATAATTCAATAGGTTATAATTAATAAAGGCGGAACTGGCAGGCATCAAACTTAACTGAGTATATGACATTGAATGATCAAATGTTTAGGCATCAAGTCGTTCAAATGTGGTAAGACAACAAACGTAATCATATATGTTTGTGTTAAAGACGCATCTACATTATAGATCGTATGTGTTAAAGTATTACGTCGATGTGTTGCATCAAATGTAATGGAATATGTTTTGGCATCAAACCAGTCCAAAGGTGTCGAGACATCGAACATTGTAGAATGCGTTAAATCAGAAATATAAATGTATTCGAGACTCGCGTGAGTCACATCTAATGATTCAGTAGGCTGAGGAATCTTCATAGCAGGAATTTGAAATGTATTCATCCGTCGAATTTAGAAACTTGAAGAACAGTATCTTCGCCGTGTTAGAAACAATACACGTGTCGAGATAAAGGATAGTTCTCCACTTCCTTTGATGCCATTGTACATCTGGAACGTATGCATAATTACATCAGAATCAATATGTTCTATAATACAAAAATTCAATATAGGGTTACAGCTTATTTTCCAATTAACACGTTCCTAATTATACTTTTGAATATAGATAGCGATAATCGGTTTTATCGAATGATGAATGACCTACTTGTTTTATATTTTTAATCGACATCCGTAAGCAATGTAGATAAACAAGGTATACCCCCCAAGTTGATACACTATCAAAAATGGATCTAAATGATAAATTTTTTAATGAATAATCAATTAAAGTTACTTAACTAAAAATTACTGTTTTTTCATTCATATAAATGTTGCAATTCGATTTGTGAATATACATTAGGTTTATTTTTAATGCTACGGAAAATGACATCATTGTGACGCCATTTGAATTTTGGCGGGTTACACCGACAATTTGTAAACTTGGTGATACACGAATTTCAAAATGTCTTAATTTAAAAATTGGATTTATTCGTCTAGACTCTAGACAATTTAGTATCTATTAAGTTAAATAAAATGAATGCAAAATAAAGTACATTAAATTAAACTTAATCAAATCTAATCAATTCAAGTCAAGCTAAATTAATCTACATCTTAAGTGAAGTTAATTAAATCATATCAAAAATTAATCTTTATCTAAAATAGACATGATCCCTATTTTTTTTCTACGAAGTACTACCCATCCATGTGCAGTATCTATATTCTTATAAGAATGAAGAGAGATACGATGTCATCGGTTCCAACAGGTAGTACATCTTATCGCGAGCGAGCTTATTACTTACACTGATCACAGCGGAATCGAATCGAATACCACGCCGCCTCATATATATATCCATCTGAAAAAGTTGAGTGATTAGAAGTGTGTCGACTCTGACGACTATTCGTAACACCTGAAGTGCTCTCGACTAAAAATAACATTGAACAAAGCAAACAGGTGTCGCGCCGTTAACATTGCCACGTTCATTCGGCTAACGAATTAAATTTCAAACGGTAAGTTGCCAACATCACTTCATATAAAATACGATAACCGTACAATTTATCAATCTTAAATATATACTTTCGTTTAAAATATCGACATTGACCGAGTTAGATTTTTCACGTGTTCAATGTGAATTTTTATTTGTAACTTTGGTTATAATTGATAATAACCTCCATTACTTAATGCAATCTACAATTTCTGTTTTACTAGTAGCATACTTGCAATCCTATATAAGAAATATTAGATATCCTGGTATATCCACAGCCCTACGTAGCACAACATTGTAAGTACTTATCTTGACACTAAAATGTTAGCCGAGGTTGATTTCACGTAATCTCGGTGGTAATTCAATAACTGTCTGCCTGAGTCAAGTTTTTCGTAGCATCTGCACATTCCGACAAAGAACGGCGATAAAGTTACAGAATGCTCGTATTGTCCGTGCAACTGTCATTTTTTGCACCTACGAATACGAAAACAAACAATTTTATTAAGATCATGCAATTTATTGACACACGATATTTGACGTACTTATTATTCACTTACCTTTATGCGTAACTACCGTGTTGAATGTACATACTTTTCAAACTGTGAAATGGATTGACGTCCATATCGAGTATTGTATCTAAACAATTTCAAGTGGCACGTAATCGTCACCTGATTCAATACCTTCGTATTTGATGTTCATAGACATTCGTGTTACGAAAGAACAATTAAATTGCCTTCTGCTTTTCTACATCGATCGAGAAATAAACTAAAAATGTATTAAAGATAATAAACGTAAAATAAACTGTACCTGTCAATGTCGTTATTATCGTAACAAATGGGTCTCTTAATATCATAGAGCGATAACAATACATCGTTCTTCAATTAAAAGTAAAAATCTTATAACCTTAATCATTGCAGTTCGAGTGTTAATGTACTTTTTAAGAACTACTTATTTAAATTTATGAATTCTGTAGAATACGATCTCGCTTGAAATTAGAATAATGTAATTGTTTTGTTACTGATGCAGTTTGTAAATAAACTTTTAAAGTTGAAACTCTGCGCAGCTTCCGTTACATTGCCACGCAAACGAGAATGGCGTACGACAGAAGTACGCAACAGTCGATAAAATAAATCCTTCAGCCATACGATAAAGTACGTATCAAATCTTACTTTGATAAAAAAGAAGTCTTCGTTTTCCGAAGAGTAAAAAGTTACCGAGAATATTGTAATTTCGATTCTATAAACGTAATACTAATGGCAAGGCGATTTTATAAATCATAATGATTAAAGACTGCGATAGTGATCTAAAGAACTCAAACGACAATCGTTTGTTTGTTACTAGAACACGTATTTGAAATTAAATTTTCATATCAAAAGAGTCAGGTGCAACGATTTTACCGACGTATGAGAAAGATTAAGTGCCTGATTGGAATCAACATATTTGTTGTATATATTATAAATTAATTTCTTGTCGATTATAATTATTTACTACTCTTCAACAATATTAATATTGTTCATAATTTTTATTAATTTAAAGATTTGAGGTATTTATAAATTTATAACTTTGGGAATTGCTGAATTATAGATTTAAAAATTTGGAAATTTGAGAATGGAAAATTTAGGAATTCAAAAATTTGAGAATGGAAAATTTAGGAATTCAAAAATTTGAGAATTTGATATTTTAAAATTTGGAAGGTTAGAAATATCAGAAATGGAATTTAAAAATTTGAAAATTTGAGAATTGAGAATTTGGAAATTCTGGAACAAAGGATTTAGAAATTTTCTAATTTTGAAAGACCCGAGACCATACTAGTTCCTCCCTGAATAGATATACGTATGTAAATTATAATGCACCGGTTTATTTTTTTCAGAACATCTCGACCGTCGATAATAGTAGCCATGTCGCCATCAGAAGATAACTTTCTCATGGAAAGACTCATTACTTCAGCTCATTTCCATGATGAGGAAGAACACCATGACGAGGAACAAGAGATGCACGATGTACTTGTTGCAAAAGGAGTTACCATGGTCATTTTATGTGTAGTCAGTACTTGCATGGGTATAATACCAATGCAAGTGGCTAAATGTTTAAAATGGAAAACAAGCGGTGTTGGGAATCCCAGGTATCGATACTTCTACATATTTAACGCTTCCGGGTATAAGTCGTACAGGCGTCAACGTACATACAAGAAGTTTCAAAAGTAACACTCAATCTAAAGACTACGAATTTTTCTTGTGAAAATAAATTTAGAGCTTTCACATACATTTGAGTATTAAAAAATTTGAGAGATTAAAAATTTAGGAATTTAGGAACATAGGAATTTTCCAAAGTATTGGAAATCAAATGTTTAATTTTAGTTTGCTCTGTGACAATATAGTTTGCGTTTTTGTACAGCTTGAAATCATTTACCTTCAGAGATGTCCCTTGATCAAATTGATAAACCACTTCAAACCAGGTCACGTACATATTGGAGGTAAACACCTCAAGTTTCAAAGTTTGCGGATTCCATTATCGCAACGACGATCATAATGCATTCGGTTTCGTGTTGTAATGCGTAATTACAAATGCAACCTGTGTGACGTAACCTTACCTACTAACGCAAGAGTGAAACAGGTCGGTAAATTAGTGATTTTGTTGCGGTAGGTCCACTATGGTAGTGAGTCTACTTCTGGGATTCGGTGGTGGCGTTTTATTCTGCACCACGTTTCTTCATCTATTACCGGAAGTGAAGGAGGGAGTGCAACATCTCATAGAGGAACAGAAGCTACCTCAGCTTAGCTTTTCACTGGCTGAAACACTTACGTGTGCCGGGTGAGTGAAGTATTTATTTATCAAATTAACAAATGATTACTAAACTTTATAACCGGAATGTATCAAAAGGTTACGCCATCTTTTAAATTTCGAGACATCGAATTTTCTTTCTTCATCTTAAATGATTCTTTACAGTAAAGTGAAATTAGATTTAATACGAATTTGAATGATAATGTGAGTCACTATCAGGTGACACAGTGGCTAAGATCATAAATTATTTATCGCTAAATAACAAGCTTTATAGGCGCCTAAAAGCATTAATGAGTTGTTTGCAACTTTTATTATGATCTCTAAGCACACATTGTTACAATTTGTACATGTAGAAAATGTGTCCTATGAAGGATAGAGAGCGCTAGTTGACCGATGTTGCAAAGAACGCTTCTAGATCCTGCAAGAAATTCGAACGAAGAAAGCGCTTAATTGTAATTTTGTCCTATGTCAAAATGTAAAGGAATTTGGCAAGACATAAATGTAGCTATTTCGTTTCAATGTAATTGACTAACTATTTTATGTACTTCAGAATATACACAAGACATTATTCATGTCACTCGTAATACTGTCTGATTCCAATATTTGTATCGACCCTCGTGAATTAATATCGTAAACCTGGACAGTGCGGTATACGGCTTTGAAGCAAGTGTCAAGTTCAAATTATCATAACCTATACACTTATTATTGTGTACAGTTTATGATCGCAGACACAAAGAGTATTATGGCATTTAATACTATGAAAAGCACCTGTGGATTTAGAGCTCCGCGTATCCCTAAGATGAGACAATTCTTAGAATCTGTTTTCTAATGAAGTTGGAATTTCGCTATAACGCCTCATACCGAGAAATGCGCGGGAAAAAAATTATGAAATGAGTCACATACGTGAAACTTCGATATCAGCACTTAATTATCATAACCTTGTATTTACAAATTATAAAATTTACAAATTTATATTTTTAATCTTAAAAATATGAAAATTTATAAATTTCAAAATTTAAGTTTGTAAATTAAAAATTTTTAAATTAAAAAATTCTTTTTTAAAACTATTACATATTTCCGCAGGTTCTTCTTGATGTATTTGGTAGAAGAGTCGGTGCACAGTCATTTGCGGAAAAAGGAAAACCAAAAAGACGAATACTCGAAGAAGGACGTCAGTCGTAGTACGAACGAATTGGTCGAAAATGGGCAAACGCTGCCTAATTGCGGCAATGGGCATTCACACTAGTAAGAATAGATGTTTATTAAACTGCACGCTGCGAATCGTATGCAAATAACACAAGATAAAAATACATTCATTGTTGCAGTAGCGGCCACGGCCATTCGCATCACTTGCCAGTCATAATGGACGAGAAAGATGACTTCGTCATAAGTTCTCTACGGGGATTATTAATAATCCTGGGTTTATCCGTGCATGAATTATTCGAAGGACTCGCAATTGGACTGGAAAGTTCAGCTTCTTACGTTTGGTACATATACTTTTTGATAAACAACCAGTTGAAGTTTGTACATTAGTATGCCCGTTTATATTCATGGTAAATTCAGTACAGCAATGAAGACTGAATAATAAATCATTTTCATTAATAGCAGTTCATTTTAACCTCTTCAGGAATAATGTTTCTAAGGTTACATTTTTGTGTAATTATATTTTATTTATTTCAAATCTGTAGTAATTGCATAAATAAATTCCAAAAGATATCATGTACAAAACAATGGTGACATTCACATATGTGACCTTTGGTTGATGATTTTAAAAACAATCTTGACATCGACGAGTATCTCTGAAGAGGTTAAACAGAAACAAAGTCTAAACATTTGAAAGTTCGTAAATATAAAAATGTCGTCCCTATATATTTATTTATGAAATCATACATTTACACAATGATAGTTTAAAAGAAATTCTAATAAGTTAAAAATTATCTTAACTCGTATATTAAAACGAATTACCCGCCTTTAGACTTTGAAATTGAAAACAAGCATATCAGTGACCAACAGCAAAGATGTTTAGTAAATAGCAAGAAATTAGTAGATAAACCTTGTATTGACTTATGACTAACAGAAGATTGATCACATCTGATATCTTATTTTCATTTCCTCTACTTGACAACAATAAAATATGGGAGAGGTTTCCTTCTTATCATGAATTACAAAACTTATCTCCTTGTGACCCACGTCATTTTTTTTCTAAAGAAAGTTTATTCCGTTTCTAGGTACATGTTCGCGGCAGTGGCGGCCCATAAATTTGTCATAGCGTTCTGCATAGGCGTAGAATTGCTAGCGTTGAACACCAGAACCTACCTTTCCGTAATTTACGTCTGCACATTCGCAGTTGTCTCTCCTTTAGGGATCGGCATAGGAATGTTACTAGTTGGTGGCGAAAGCGCCGCTGCAAATGGTATACTTCCGGTTCTTCTGCAGGTACACGCCATTTTCTTTCTATTTCAAGTCCCATTCAAACCTTCGAAAATATTTTAGAAAAAAATTACATGATTTCAAGAGGCAAATTATTGGGCGAATGTAGTATCTTTCTACATGGATGTATTGAGAAGATACATAGGTTAAGTTACAGCACCTTGTACCTTTTGATGCAGCTTGTTAATTCTCTGCATAAATTAAGTCACTTATAGTCACAGAAAAATTATTAGTTTACAAGATATTGTCATTTTTATACTGGATAGTGAAACCTGTACTAATGTTCATTTTTTAACGCTTACTTTCCGAAAGTTGCAGTTCGAAAGTATGTCTTTCAGCTTGAATGCACATTCATTCTGACTCTTAATATTTCTCCAACTCTTTCTATTTCCACGGAAATCTGTTAGTACACACCTCTGTTGTATCATTATATTTTATACATCCCTATAAAAAATCTGAGGGTATCAGATCTGATAACTTCGACAAAGATTCGATAGGCTTTAAAGTATGAGATGAGGAGCATATCAGCTACGTTGGAACGATATTCCGCGATACAAGAATGAAAATACTTTCTAAACTAAAGACCGTCTACTAGAATTGTCTCGTATAGAGAATGACAAACCGTATCGAACGGCGCATTCAAAGATACATAGTTCCATTTCCATATGGAAGAAAGTTACCTCCACCACATAATTTGCCTTTTAGATCATGTAATTTCTCTAACACAGTTTTTTGAACAATCTACATATACGTCGCGAATTTGGGACAGCTTTTGAAAATTCATATGTATCTTCATTATTTACCAACCAACGTTTCGTCATTGGTTCGACAGCTATGCTTTCTCTAAATATTGTATTGAATTATCGGTGGCTTCCTTCGAGGAATGTATTCGAGGAAATCCATCAAGGAAAAATCCACAAACTTCTGAAACCATTATTTGCGATAATTGATAACCAGCCATTACATAGCGGCAATATCAGGGAAAAGTTTATGGAATTATTTTCCTGAAAGTTTCATTTAAAATTGATATGATACAAATGGTGTTTTATGAAGCCTCTATCGGTCTTACTTTGTTTCCAAGTTGACACTTGATATATGATAATCTATTACGAGGGACGTTCAATAAATAAGGAAAAAAATGCAAGTAGCTTTAAGTCGGTTTATTCGATAAATAGCTGTGTATTATAACGAGATGTATTTCTAAGTATCTACATTCCTATATTTCCATTTCTCAAACAAATTTTGTCTGTTGAAATACAGGGTCTGGCATCTGGAACTTTACTGTACGTAGTGTTCTTCGAGATCCTCCAGGAGCACAGGACCGGCCTCAAACAATATCTATCAATTCTGGTAGGATTCATCGTGATGTTCGGACTTCAGCTAGTCAGTAAGTACAAAATTTACTATCAACTAATATTCAAGCATCGGTCAGCGAACGACTGTATGCATGTGAGCAACAAACAAGAATCAGAGGGAAACTAATCGTTAAAAAAAACCGGTTCTGCGATTAAGGCAAAATGGTAGTCGATCAGAGTTTTCTTCCCGTAAACAATATCGAGTCACGAGAGTATCCGGGAACACGTCACAATAAATTGAAACAAATGACGCGACGGTTACACCAGAGGTTACGACCGGTACGGTAATTGAAAAACTTATTTGCAACGGAATTATCATTATGCATGAAGCTTATCGACTAGAAGTGTCGTTAACACTTTGCTATCAACTACTGAAATGTTGTGTCTGCAGTTGTAGGAGATACTGTTGTAGACTCGCTGTCTTCTATTGCGGTGATTTTTGTCGCGTTGAATATTTACGCGTTGAGTTGCGGTAACTTTTGGTGTGGTGACTCATGACGCGTTCACTGTGCGCTGAATACTGTCGCGTTGATTTTTGGCGCGCTGAGTAATGACGCGTGGAATATAGACGCGTTGACTTTGGACGCTTGAACTATTGGTGCGTTGATAGTTAACGCGTCAAATATCGACGCGTTGAGTTTGGGCGCGTTGACTTCTGATGCGTTGACTGTCGGCGCGTCGAATACCAATGCGTTGACTTTGGACGCTTTAATTATTGGTGCGTTGACTTTTGGCGCGCTGATTTCTGATGCGTTAACTATCGGCGCTTCGAGTACCAATGCGTTGACTTTGGATGCGCCAATTCGCGATGCGTTGACTTTTGGTGCGCTGACTGGTGGCGCGTTGACTATCAGCGCATGGAATACCGACACGTTGACTGTCGACGCTTTAATTATTGGTGCGTTGAATACCAACGCATCAAATATCGACGCGTTGCCTTTTGACGCGATAAATCCTGATGCGTTGACTATCGGCGCGTTGAATATCAATGCGTTGACTTTTGATGCGCTGACTTATGGCGCGTTGACTATTGATGCGTCGAATGCCGATGCGTTGACTTCTGACGCTTTAACTATTGGTGCGTTGACTATCAAAGCATCAAATATCGACGCGCTGTCTTTTGATGCGCTGACTCGTAAAGCGTTGACTTTTCGCGCAGTTAATCAATGCTTTGACTCTGTATACTTAGAATATTAACGAGTTGAAGAGTTTTGAGTTGACTCTCGACATAGTAACTCCTTACACATTAAATATTGCCGCATTGTATTTCCTCGCGCTATATCGCCGTACGATATTAATGCATAATTAAGCTTTAGGTCAATACACGTTGTACAATCAGACATCATAACTTGCTATATGCCTTATATAGAATTGTGTGATCAAATATCACCATATCTTTTATCGCCGCTAAAAAATGTTACCTTACAGTTTGATATTATTGAAAGTAGCAGCGGTCAGCTATTTTCTGGAGATATTCTCTCATGATTCATTTGTAAGTCACGTTTAATGATCAGTAATAACACACGGAGTGTTTATCGCTAATTGCATTAAACAACAGAGTACACATTGGATATACCGAAGTAACGAGTGACATAATCAATGACTGATCGTTGACATTGAGTTTCCATTTACTAAAAATTGTAATGAAAAGTATACATACATCGAAGGCAACTCGTGTAACAAAACAAAAAACAATTTTCTGCGCCGGTGACTCAACTCCACGTTGAATGATCGAGTCGCCTTTCACTGTGAAATCAGCTTCTCCCATTTACACAGGAGCATGTTTGATCAACGTGCTACTGAAAATCGATTGAATTATAAACGGCAAATGATGTACACAGCGCGGTGATTGGTTACAGGGAATTCTACGATCTTGACTAAATAGCTAGTTGCTCAATATATCCATCCTTAATATCTAATTAACAGCTGAATTTCTGTAAACGAGTTAACTGCCGCATTAATTTCGACGGAAATCTATTTCCGTGAATTCTAATTTATCGTCTATACTAATTAAGTCTTTCCATTGCATATATTTCAACATATCTAAACTTCGAACTTCAATAGTATTTCTTTTATGTCTAGGTAATTTTATATAGAGTTGTAAATATTGAGCAACGTTAATTATAATTGGTAGCTGAAATCTCCTTTCACAAAATCATTACATTTCTCGATATGAAAGGAAATTGCGATCATATGTTAAGACTGCTGGAACATGAAGACTGTTGCAAATGATGGTTTGCTTTTTCGACACTGTTGAAAGTGAAAACGATGCAACGAACTGGATTAGAAATTGAAAGTGACCTGCATTGTGCCATTTCAGCTACTCTTGCTGTTTCAATATGTTCTTGTAAATCACGATATAATAATCGTCAACTTTTTACGATCAAACTACTAAGTCCCCAGATCCTTTAAATTTTCTCAATTTTCTAAATCCCCAAATTCCAAAATTCCCCATATCTACTATATCCACAAACTTTCTAGATGCAGAAATTCCTTAGATGTGAAAATTCCCTAGGTACGTAAAATCTCGCGCGTGTAATAAATCCCCTAGGTAAAAAATTCCCTAAATCTAAAAAATTCCTAGGATATAAAAAATTCCCTAGATCCCGAAATTCCATAGACCCCGAAAATTCCACAGATCTAAAAAATTTCCTAAATTTCGAAAATTCCTCAGACCTCAAAATTTCCCATATCTCAAAAATTCCCTAGATCCCCAAATCCCTTAAGTCCCATATCCCACGAACATATAACTCCACTAGATTCAAAATGTTAACCAGTACAAAAATTCCCTAGATTTCCCCAGAATTTGCTTTATCCCCTATATCCCTAAATCGCCAGTTGAACTTCTAAATCCCCGAATACCGTAATAATTGGCCTTCGTGGCATGTAGTTAGAGTACGCTGTTGTTCCATAGAGCGTGACCGAAAGCATCGCAAGTATGCGATCGATCGATAGATCAATGAGGAACGATCGATCGGCTCCTAACAGGAGTCGAGGCACGCGGTGCTTGGCAATCATTCATTCTCTTCCATACACGTCGGCTGTGTATCAAGCGGCTCCTATCAGCCGCTGTTCGTCGGCAGGTTACCAAACAGACCCGACGAGTTCGTATACCTGCAAACATTTCCATGTCGGCTTGCATGGCATCGACGCGAACCGGAGTCAAACCGCGTAGGAAGGAGAGAACGAACGATCAACAGCCGGGTAGGGAAGCACCGTATGGAAGGGGTAGAGAACAGGAAACGAGTACAATCTTCGAAGCGATGTAACGAGGTCGTACAACGATTCAGGTGTTGAAGTATGACACGGGAAATACGAGCAATTAGACGGGCATAAGGAAAGAGGTATTCGATTGCGATTGTTATGTAAGATATGCTTTCGTAGAGGGTTAATTTGATATAATACTACCGGGTTCTTTAAAACATTGTGGATGATTCAGTTTCGATAATGGGTGTTTGTTACCCGTTTGCTTTCAGTTTCACAGTTCCATTGTTTTGTTACTTTATTGTTTTATTATTTAATCGTGTTACTAGTCTATTAGTATACTGATATATTACTATATTAGTATGCTACTATAATACTACATCATTACATGACTATACCACTATATTACTGTATTGCCATACACACTACAAGTCAATTATTCAGTTACTTCATATTACTAGTCTAGTACTATACTACTGTATTACTGCATTACTATTCTACTATCACACTATATCATTACATTACTATACCACTATATTACAATATTGCCACTTATACTAATAGTCAATTATTCAGTTATCTCATATTACTAGTCTATTACTATACTACTATATTACTGCATTACTATACTACTATAACACTATATCATTACATGGCTATACCACTATATTACAATATTGCCATATATACTACTAGTCAATTGTTCAGTTACCTCATATTACTAGTCTATTACTATACTACTATATTACTACATTACTATGCTACTGTAACACTATATCATTACATGACTATACTACTATATCACAATATTGCTATACATACTATTAGTCAATTATTCAGTTACCTTATATTACTAGTCTATTGCTATACTACTATATTACTACATTATTATACTACTGTAGCACTATATCATTACATGACTATACTACTATATCACAATATTGTCATACATACTACTAGTCAATCATTCAGTTACCTCATATTACTAGTCTATTACTATACTACTATATTACTACATTACTATGCTACTATAACACTATATCATTACATGACTATACCACTATATTACAATTTTGGCATTCATACTAATAGTCAATTATTCAGTTACCTCATATTACCAGTCTATTACTATACTACTATATTACTACATTATTATAGTACTATAACACTATAGCATTACATGACTATACTACTATATCACAGTATTGTCATACACACTACTAGTCAATCATTCAGTTACCTCATATTACTAGTCTATTACTATACTACTATATTACTACATTACTATGCTACTATAACACTATATCATTACATGACTATACCACTATATTACAATTTTGGCATTCATACTAATAGTCAATTATTCAGTTACCTCATATTACCAGTCTATTACTATACTACTATATTACTACATTATTATATTACTGTAACACTATATCATTACGTGACTATACTACTATATCACAGTATTGCCATACATGCTACTAGTCAATTATTTAGTTACCTCACTATTTTATTGTCCACTATTATTTCACCATTTTATACTGCTATTATATTTATGCTACTCTTCACTATTTTACTATTTTGTTGATCTATTATACACTCTCCATGCTGTATTGTACTAATACTTTTTATTCTATTTAATGATTATCTGTCTAAAACTCCACAATATAAAATCATGAACTATCCATCAAAACCTAACTTCAAACCCACTCCTCCAAATTTCAGTGCCTGAGGTCGCCACCAACTATCCAATTTGCAGTCACACTATATCTCGAGTAGGACTATAGATCCCGTACTACGTAAGACACGAGGGGATCAGAGTCGA